ATAGGCACAGGCTTCACGACTGCTGCCTGCGGGGTCGACAGACACCCTGGGGGTGCGAATTTGAAGGAATTCCTGATGTGGGACTGCACGTCAAGGAGCTCCTTGAATGACACTCGAGTGTCACCGTTGTGGTGCCGAATTTTCAGGACGGGGTTGCTTGGATTGCCCAATGATTGATGGATCGCGGTACGTGCGTATAAGCGTAAGCACGGTGAGCGAGGCATGAGCATGGGTGGCTGGGATGGTCGACGGGCTTTGTGGTTGCGTTGGCAGCCCGAAGCTCTTTGAAGCATTTCTCGTGCACCAGCCAGAACAGGTACGTCATCTTCAGGTGTATCTTTAGTTTGTATTTCTCAATAGATTCCAATGAACCACTCACCGACTCTGCTTTGCTCAGGCAAAATAGGAAGCTGACGTCTACCTCATTGCCTTGTTCTGTAAAAAATCATGATGATGATGATGATGATGATGATGATCGTTTGTGTGCGAATGGGGGCCGGGCGCGCATAGCGTAAGAGCGGGCGATAGGGTGGCGACACGCTGGTGGTTTCGTGGCGGCTGCTCAAAGCCTTTATTGTGCTCGTGGTGCTCCCACCGCAAACAAACGATCAATGGGGTGGAGATCCAATTGGCAGGGTGGGCAGACTTGCCCAAGAGATCTTGCCCGGTCGAGATTTGCATCTGATGAGAAGTCGACCGCACTCGCCACCGGAGTCCCGCATTCGTAACGCTTTTGCCGGGCGCGTCACACGAGCGGGGCGGCGTCGGGCTACGCTAGAATTCCCCGGTTGGCGCCTGCACCTAGGGCGCCCAGGTGCTGCCTTGCGCATCGGTATCTGATTGGCCCAAACTGACGCTCGCACATCCGCACCCCCACCCCCCCACCCGCCCTCCCAAGGTTGAGATGCGGCCTTGGTTTCGGTGATGGTGCGCTCTGGGTGGTCGACATTGCCAACTCTGCACTGACGCTGTGGACACAGTGGCGCAAACCCTGGTTCATTGACTTGGTCAACAGTGTCCGTTTCAGGCACTGGGCTTCCGGCACCGGGGTTCAGGCGATGGTGTGCTCTGCTAGGGATGGTATAACCCTTGGGGTTTGGGAATGTAATGTCCGGTGCGGGATGGGACACGCGAACTGATGGAGTGGGAAATAGGGGGGCACAGGTGGAGATGCGCGCCGGCGTGCGGGGGAAACAGGCAAAATGAGAGCTATTTCCTGTGAAGCGCTAATCTATAAACAGGGGAAGCACGAGGGAGACGCGAGAAACTGTATTACTTTTCTGTTTCGATAACTGTGTGAATCCAGTGAAATTAAAAGGATCGGGTGCACTTTGTTGGGAATATTTCAAACTTCCCAAAGTTCTCTGCAGTATTTCAATGCGACGCCGGGGACTCGTTGTTCAAAGGACAACCCCCCAGAGCTGATATCTATCATTTTGTACCCAGCTGCCAAAACTCTAATTTGGCCCTGGTGCTTGGCGTATACCATTACGCAATTCACACTCAGAGCGGAAACTGGAAGAGTGATCCAATTTCCGCCGCCACAGCGGAACCCCACGCAGGAATAAGTAGTCCTCATGAGTAACCCCAAATTTACAAAACACAGTTTGGTTCATCTCACCACTGCACACGCTCATTTCACTGACCTTCGCCACAACATCCGACTAACGTTAGTCGTAACGCTTTCGTTAACGCAAGCGTTACGCCCAACGCTAGTCGGACGCTGTGGCGAAGGTGAATGAAGCACAAAGACTGTCCGGATAGGATGGACTGCCTCCGACTGGTCAGCGAGGCTCCAGCCGAAGAGTGCTGTCGCCACACGAGACCCGCCATAGATCGGTTGGCTCCAGCAAACAGGTGTGCCGAAGGGGGCACCACTCCGACAGTGCTTTGTAGTGGCAGATGGGCTGAACGGGGACTAGGCGTCCAGGGGACTTGCCAGAGATGGCTCAAGGGCCACTACAAGATGGTAATTGCCTACCAGGCGTCTGTATTTGGCTTTGACTGCGCGGATCTAAGCAGGACCTGACCAGGCGGCAGAGCAGTGAGCGCCTCGTATTGTAAGTAATTGGGGAAGCCTGCCAACAAATGCGACGGTGCTCGGTGACCTACTCCGCCGGCAACTAACGCGGAGGCGCAAGCACTGGCAGCGTACCGAAAGAGCCAGAAAGACCGGAGTTGCGGCGGCCTTCATCCCGGAAAACATCTCGCACTGGGAGAAAAAGGGCCAAATAGCACGCGTTCAAACGTGTACAAAGTTTACGGGTTTGTGTTTCCTTTTTTTTGTTCTTAGTGTGCAGAACTTTGATGAAATGTGTTTTATGTGTGTTCGAAAACGTGCTATTTAGTCTTTTTTGCTAGTGTCGTCGTTTGTGTGGCTGCCACCGCACGTACTGCGCAGAACAGCAAAACGTCACACGGCTGTCACTCGAAGATATTCACCCGTTTGCAACAAAGGGCGGCCGCCCTGTGCCCCTATCAATGCAAGGCGGACGCTGCGAGGGCGCCTCAGGTGCAGGCGCCTCACTTGTCAATGGAGGCCCGCTGGGATTGGGGCTATTCTTTTCACTTAAAAGAACATAAGGGGCAGCACAGTAGCAAGGACGTCCTTGCGCGCCGACGATGGCGTGCTGATTGAGTGGCAGACCGACGCCGCGGACCCCGGAGAAATGAGACCCTCTTTCTCCAAAGCCGGCACAGCATCCGCACTGGCATCGAGGAGCCCAGTAGCAAATTGTCTTGGCCCAGGATCAGCGTTGGTCATTCACCACGTGGCCCTGGCCAGGGGCCTCCAGATTCAGGCAAGAACCGAAAGTGAGAAAGGCGTAAAGCAAATGCATGTGAGCGCACCTGCTGTGCGCGCTCGCGGCTTACTCCCAGGCCAGGAGGAAGGGCTCTGTAAAGCACTGGCGCTGGGTGCTGCTTGTCCGCGCTTAGGACCATGCCTGAGCAGCGGGAGTCGCCACAGGCTTGCCACACCCAGCAACTGCAGTTGCAACTGCAACCGCCAGCTGGCGGCCAACCACCAGGGTGCCCATTATACCATGGTCAGATAGATGGAAATGTCGTGTTCAGCGACATATCCGCAAAAGATCGTTAAGGGGAAACCGTTTAATTTCCCCTTAACGTTGGGTTTAAAATTTTCTGGCTGTTCTTGCTGTCGCATACGATTTATCCACCACACATGGCCCGGCAATTGGGTTAACACCACGTCGCCTTGCGCTTGCCTATGGTGCCAGGGGACGGAGGGACGGGATGCCAGGTAGGAGGTCTTCTGGTTTTGGGCCACTGTCTGGCCCTTTCTCTGCTTGGTGCTGGAGCCTGTCGCAACCCACACCCCAGGGCGAGTCAGACCAAAGGGAGACGGAACTATCAAGTCCGACGAACCAGCCAAATCACCACTCATTCGTTGATTACACGACGTTCAATACAAACCACATTTTGTAATGGGGGACCAGCATCCAAGCCCAAATCATCTCCCCTTTTTCCAGAAATTAACAGCAGTCCTCTAAAATTAAAAACTCCGCCACCACAGGGTACCCCCCAAAGCCTCGTGGGCCACCCACCGGGCCCAGTGGCCCGGCGGCCAGCCCGGATTGACCCCGCGGCCACCAGGCGATCTGATGTGGCCCCGGGCGAGTCCCTAACGCACAAGTAAAAAGAGCACGAGGCTGAGTAATCTCGGAAGCCTCCGCAAAAAATCTTACACCCCCCAAGCCAAACTGGGGTGCAGCTTTGTGTATTAATCCCGTTATTACGTAACAACGGATGACGGATCCTGAGGATCGCACATGACAGCGGATACTGCGAGCTGGCTTCGTAGGGTTAGTACCCTGTAAACATCCACAACGCTGGTTAGCCAACGTCCGTGCGCCATTAGCCAGTCATGGGACACCCTCTTCTCCTCGGCCCTCGCGACCCAGCCCACTCCCAGGCTGTGGGCCATAATTTTCAGCTGGAGTAAGTGGAGGTCTGGTGGCCATGCAGCTGCACTTTTGTGTAGCGCTGCGAGTCGCCCAGTGAGAAGTCGCTACTCGTGCAAGGGCCGCCCCACGCCCCTCTTTTCAACTTTGGGAATAGTGTGGCGCTAGGGAACTCTAAGTTCGTCGCTCCCTGTAGTGCGACTGTGGCTCCCCGTCCTGCAGTGTCACTCTTGCTCTGCCTTATCAAAGCTGCAACGAACTGGGAGGAGCTTCCACCTTCAATTTGCACGTCGCCCACTTTCAGCGCCCACAGTCTAGACTTCCTTAAAAGCACAAAAGACCTGATCACCGACATGGGCCCGTCCCTCCTCAGTTCCAGCGCATTAGCTGGCTTGTTCCGCGTTTTGGCATCGATCCACTGAGAATTAAGGGGATAAGTGAGTGCGGGTATGCTGCCTTCCGCTTTTCCTGAATGGGCTTGGGGCTCGCCACTTCTTGAAAATCAATAATTGAGGGTTTGGGGACTCAATCTTCCCGATTCTGACCTTCTTTGGTATTTTGAGGCCGCCCTTGTAACGAACTTTGCCTTTCAAATAGGGGAAATTGAATATGGGACGGTTTACAATTACGATGGCAATCTTTCAGTACTGCATTGGGAGGCGTCTGCGTCCCAGTCACGCCTCCTGTCAATGCGGATCCCGTCCGCTGCCCATCCGGCAAGGGCACCCAGTCCAGGAGGCAGTGGGCTGGGTCAGACTGGCATCCCCAACAGTCTGTGGGCTCCAAGCGGGTAGGTAGCGCGCCTGTGCCCACCAGACCGCCTCTCCTCAATTCCCCCCCTCCCCCGCGACCAACCAGCCCAGTCCAGGGCCAGCCCCAGCAGAAGCGGGCGCAGCTCAGGCACGCTCCCAAGGCCGTCAAGGAAGGCCATGCATCCACCTCGGGCGTTCCTGGGAGATGGCGCCAGGTCCCGATCGGCAGCGCGATCTTGGCCGCGTGGCATCGAAAGGGCGGCCCGAGTGGGGATCGGAGCGGGGCACGCTCAGCGCGTGCCGAGAGCGCGGACGTCCACGGCTGATGCCGCCCAGGCGGCGCAGCTCAAGGATCCCAGTCGCCGATCTGATAGAGCGCTCGAGGAGCTGCCCCTTCCCGAAGGTGGGGAGGTCCGATCTCCGACATACCCTTCGGCAAGGCCGATTGGCGATGGAGTGCACAGTGGCGGACGCCTTGGATGCATTCAGCCCCGTGTGGGAAATTGTGAATCCTGGTCTCCTCGTCGCCCCTCAAGGTGGGGTATTTGTGGCATGTTGTAGCCACCATTGCCCTGGGGGGCCGGTGGAGGTGGGCTGAAAACCTGCGCCCGCAGAACAGTGCGAGGTGCACAGCGCCTCGATCTGTGTGCGGGAAGTGGGCCGCCACTCGCGAGTCGCTTGCCGCAGTTGGGGCGCGAGCGCCCACGGCTGTTCCGGGGGGCGCTATCCAGACCGCTTCACAAGGGCGGCCCCTGGCCTTTGTGTGACGCCAGAGGCGTCGGACGACGCGGCCAGGCAGGCAGGTGTGTCACGTGCCGCCCGTGATGGGGTGCTGGTTGCGAGCAGTGCATGGACGAACCTGAAATAATAGTACTGCCTGCACCAAATCGGTGTCTCCCTGCACCAAATCACGTGCACGCTATGTCCTAACCTCAGTTTTAGGGTTAGGTTTAGTATTAGGTTTAGGGTTAGGGTTAGGGTTAGGGTTAGAGTGAAGGTTAGGTTTGGGGTTAGGGTTTAGGTTACGTTAGTTTTGGAGGGATATGGTGCAAGCAGTCACGGATTCGGTGCAGAAAGTCGCCGAATTGTTGCAGGCAGTAAGTGTATGCCAACGAACCCTTGACATGGGCCATCAATGGCCAACCGGTCAATCAAAATGAAGATTCCATTTACCGTGGTGCCACTGACCAAGGGTGCTGCGGCGGCCACATCAGCCCTTTTCAATCCAATGGTCCCTCAATCAATAAGATTGCAATGGATCCTGTCCCGCCGGTGATTGCCAGCAGTCAGCGCTGATTGTCGGTCGCACAGGGAAGGCAGACGTGGCCACACAACAAAGGGACATGTTCCCCCCCCGTGTTGTTGTGATTGCTTTTGATGACATCTGCACAGTGTCTGCTGAGAATGAGAATAAAAATGTGTGTAGTGAACAATGGAGGGACCTATTGTTGGGCATGGTGGCTATTTTGGACGTCACAATCTCCTAGGGAGTCAAAGATAGTTTCACCGTTCAGGTTTGGCACTGCAGGCAGTCTCTGAGCAAACCACCAGCAGGCGTGGTGTGAATCAGTGCCTTTGTGGCTGTGCAACGCAGGGAGCTCTGGCTTACCGTTCCTGGGCCACATGTTGAGCTTTATCAACGACAAGTACGCTTTTGTAGCTGAGCACGTGAAAAAATACGGACCCATCAGCAGGACCGTCCTTTTTGGAGGCCCGGCTGTCATCGTTGTTGGCCACGACCTTCTAAACAAGGTAAATGCCATTGGGTGGCACGCTCCTTTTGCCTGAACTAGAAACCAGGGACACAGTAGAATGTTCAACGCTACTGTCATAGCAGCAATACAATGTTAAAGCCGTGTCACGCTTGGCTAAAAATGCATGATTTCACGCGTTGCAAAACCGCATTTTGGCAAACAGACGTTATATTAAATGGGTGCAGAAAAGCAATTTTGCACTAACAAGTTATCGGCAAGTCCTGCTGTCCCTACACTTGATGCGAAACACATGCCTAGCCCGTGGTGGTGGGGACACAATTTACTCGTACAGCAGCCCGAACCAATCAGGCTTCTGGCACAGACGGGCGCGCAACATTACTGGCAAGTTAAAAAGCAAGAGCCCTGGAGAATTGCAAGTCGGGATTGGGATCCCGAAATCAAGCACCCAGCGTGTCTCTGGATGGATAGCGCATTCACGCAGGCTAAAACGCATCTGCATTCTGGTAGTTGTAATATTTTGGCAGACGTTCTGGAGTGTCTGCCAAAGCCTACAGTACTCTAGAAATTGGAGCGAATATGTGCTTCGTGGAAGCATAACGAGTAGTTCAGGGCGTTTCTGGGATGGGTTGCTTTGAAAAATCGAAAGTACTGACAAACGACAAGTGAAACAAGTACGAAATTATTCTACTTTAGGTAAGCCAGGAGTACAAGGAAATTATGAAAGTGGACAATTTGCATCCATTTCGAAGATACAATAGGTCGCCATGGCCCTACAATTGATTAGTTTTCTGCTTAGTACATGTTGGGTATGTTTTGGGTGCTGATGAAGAGAATGTACTGAATCGACGAAGTGGAGCACTTTGCCAGTTGCAGTGTTTTGATGCATGGCTGATGCAGGCGTCCATCTGCACCTGTTGTCCAGAACTGCAACATACCAATGAAATTCAGGACGCTTTCCAGTAAACTGGCGCTGGAGCCAGCCTCATTTGCAGGCTTTGTGCATAAGAAAATGCAATGATCGATAGCATGTGCTAACGAGATTTTGACGCATGCAGATCCTCATAAAAGAGACAGGCCTTTTGCGCCAAGGATACTTCAAGACCATTTGTCAGCTCTTGGGACCCAACTCGATGAATGTGATGGATGGTGAGCTCATCTCTTTTTTATGTCAACTCGTAAGTTTTCTGCAGCCTTCCGGAGAGAAAGGCAGCAACAGGGAGCAGCGATGGCTGCAAAACAGTATGCGTTGACATGCAATTGGGTGAAAATACCTGCTTGACGCAGAATTCCCTGAAAATTTGTCGGTTGACAGCATACCCTTGGTATAACTCCGCATGCATGGGTTTAGTCTGAATGTCGCCACAGCGAACGTAATGTGCGGCTTAAGTATAACCTCAGCCGTATCCTCCATTTTTTGCTATTGGCTTCCTACGTCCAGAATTAAATGTCCGGATTTGAAAATTCAATTTATAGTATGAAAATGGAGTCAGACGGCAAAATGCAACATCATATTAAGAACTACCAGGTCCAGAAACCGAGGTAACCGATTTCATCCCCACGAAATGTGGTCATTCAGTCCATTTTCCAGCCCTCCAGGGTGCCTTACCAGCAGCCCAAAAAGGGCAACCTTTGCGCCATTTCGTCTTTCCGTTGGGTGCACCGGCAATTGATCCATGTGCAGCTCAATCTTGGCGGCCCTGTACGGTCAGAACTATTAGTGCGACGCTCAGGCTGGGTGGCGTTGGAATCTCTGTCCTTCCTTCAACATCAATTTCAACTTCTTTCAACTTCCTTGACTTAATTCAACTTTCTTCATCCACGGAAAGGGGGCCCACTCCGAGGCCCAACATTTGGGGAGTTTGGCGAGACCTTGAACGCCTTGAGACCTTGGCCCGACTTACGAGGTCCAGAGCGATGCCATTGGATCAGCGCTTATCCGTTTATTGAAAATATTTGGGTCCAGTCAATAAACTAGTAGATGGTGACTTGGCCGGATTGCGAAGGGGATATTACGTGTGTGATGTTCAAAAATTCAGGTTAGCAAGCAAATCCGGACATTTAATTCCAGACAAAGCATTTTGCATTCAACAACCACAAATCTCTAGCTCACAGATAATGCGGCAGTAGACAATTTCTACCCACGCAATCCCTCTTTTACGGAAGATGCCACGTCGATTTTGGTGTGCCAATTTGGCGTTAAGTTCAGAGCCGCCCAACCCCCTCATACAACTCCCTGAGAACAATTTTCTTGCTTCTTGAGCTGCTTGTGTTGTGTGCCCATTTTTTCGCATGGGGGGCCCTATATCATCTTTTCGCAGCAAGGGGAAGACCCTCGCACACAGTTGCTTAGGAGGGGGTGCCCATGAACTTAGTAGGGAGTGCCCTGAACTTTTCAGGGAGTGTTTGGACGTAATTCGTAAATTGTTTGCCGCTGTTCAGCGGCATTTTTGTGGCAATTGCATAATCCCCTGATGCCACAGGTCTGGATTGGCGCCCCCCACCCCCCCGCCCCCTCGCCCAGGCTTCAATTGACGCTATGTGTCTCGATTTCGACATAGTGCGTTCCCTAACTTCGCGACATCATTGTAAGCCAATGTATCACGGACGCAGCATTATGATGCTGGAGATTATTCATCATTTATGCAAATCAGTTGCTGTATTTCTGCAGTATTGTTTGAGCAGACTGTTATGAAGCGAATTTTCGACCGGTGCACAGGCGAAGAGCATGTGAGATTGAGGAAACTGATGGGGCCGGCGTTCACAAAGGGTGGCGTTTACTCTTACATACCCAAGATCGTGCGACTGGCAGAGGAGCACTGCCATGAATGGGCGAAAAAAGGCTCAATTGTGTTTACAGATGAGGTAAACTGTTGGCCTCCTTTCATTCAGGACAGCTTGTTAGGGCAGGTAGATGTGTCGAAATGTCATTCTGTTTATGCTCATCGACATCATGATCTATAGCAAGTAATACTACTTGAACTTCTGCGTCTTGCGCTGCGCATGGAGTATGGATATCTTATTGAATTACTTGCTCGCTTGCTGGGCTGACCAATATTGCATCATGCAGGTGCGGGACTACGCTTTCAGTGTGGTGTCTGAAGCTGCCTTGGGAATTGAGTTCCCTGTGGGAGGCTGGACCAAAGAAACTGTTCTCCGAAATTTCCAGTTCTTTGCATCTGGTATTTTTACTCTTGGCGTGGACCTTCCTTTCACGAAATTTGGCAGAGCCATGGAGGCAAGGCGATTCCTGCTTAAAGTGGTAGACAAGGTGCGTATTTTGCCGAACACCATCCTGGCCAGCGAATTCATCATGGATATCTATTTGCATTCGTTGCCCCGAAGTTGATGCACTGGTAGTTTTCTTAGAAGTTTGCATGCCTGAATTTCTCATGTCTATGACACTAGCATCAGTCAACCCAGGGGTAGTAATGGAGCAACAGGCGCGAATTCGCCTGAAAATTGATCGTGTAAATTGCACAATGTCTGATGCTCATGCATAGAAGCCCACCATTGGCAGTACTACGGAACATTGAATTGTCCAGTGCGCATCCAATATTGGCTACTTAGTGTTGCGAATGTCCCATTTAAATGATCACAGTGTTCACTGCAAACAACGTATGGTGTTAGATGTGCCTTTTGATAGATCGTGTCTTGCAAACGCTTATGCTTTCTCAATGGTCACAACATATCACATTGCATTGAATACGATGGCACCGTCATCCATGATTTACACGAATTGCAAATTTCGCTTGCGTGAGAATATGTGCGTCAGTCACAGGGAAAATATCTAGGCATATAGTCTGCTTCTGCCGCGCTTTGTCAAAACTGGAAACACATAACACCAATTTCCAACTGGGGCACAAGCTTCAAAGATTATTTTTTGGACGTGAAAATTGCATATTCAGTATTCTCTCACATCCGTTGCATACATAATGTAAATCCTCTTTCTTCGAGGTGGTACACCAAAGAGGCAGAATACTGCTGGATCTCTTTCTAAACGCGCGTGATGGCTTCTGTTTGGGAAATTGCCCCTTCTTGGTGTTGTGTCAGGCAGTTGAGAGAGTAAGAGGGGACCCTGACATTGACAGCGGCTTGCGGGCAATGTTATCTGCCCGTGATGACGACGGGAACGGCCTGAAAAAGGAGCAGCTGCAAGACACCGTCCTCGCATTGCTATTTGCTGGTTATGACACAACAGCGTCCTCGGGATCATTGGCAATGTTACAATTGGCGCGCCACCCAGAAGTAGGTGGATGAGTGACCGCAAGGACCAGCCACAGCGGTGGCGGGCTTGCGTGGCCAAAAGGAAATGTGGCCCAAAACTTCTGAAGCTGGCCATCTGAGGTTAATAGACATAACAGCACGCACGCTAGCACATTCCTATGGTGAACATACATTCTTGACACACACCACATTGCCCTTATCAATGACTAAGCCCGAAAGCTCAGTGGATGCCTCCTTGGCCGCTGTATGCAATTTGGCCTTTCTTTGAAGACGTGCAGTTCTTTTCTGTTTGTGTCGGCAGCTTTACTATCCACGCCACTGTTTGCTGTCTAGTGTTGTGGGAGCTTCACCAACTTGCTGCTGGAATCGAGAATTGTCGTTTCGCGTTTCGTGCAATTGCTCTTGGGTCGGGGACCACAGAACACCTGCAGATCAAATCATTTACAGCGCAGGACAAAGCTGCTTTGTTTGGCGCCTCCGAAGTGGCCAACACTGGCGGCACGCATCTTGGATGGTACATCGAGCCCCAGCTGACAAGTTTAGCTGAGTCCAGTTGCACACACTAGGAAAAAAGGACCAATTAACACTTTTTGCGAACACATTTATATGAACTCATCAGTGTTCTGCACGCTAAAAACAGGAAAAAAAACAAACCCTTAAACTTTGTACACGTTTGAACACGTGTTATTTGGCCCTTTTTTCCTAGTGACAAGTGTTGTATCCTTGCGGACAAATCGCTGCTTCCTCGTGCGTTGCCACTCCATCGACAGTACACGGGTTCTTTCGCCTCGCGTGCAACTCATAATTCGTCCACTTTCTGGCAATCAAGAGCTCAATCTTGGGAGCCGGCGTATTGGCCGTGGCCAGTGGCTCGCTGACACATGCTCTGCAAGCTTGGAGTGGCGCTGTGCGCGCCACAAGACGTCTGTGCCAAGTAATGCTGTCATTTTAACGCAGGTCTGGGAGAAGGTGAAGAAAGAGCAAGAGCAGATTCTCGACCATCATGGACCCGAAATAAGTGCTGCAGCTGTTGAAGCGATGAGATACACGGAGGCCGTCGTCAGGGAAGCAGCGCGAGTCCTTCCGCCCGCACTTGGCTCTGTCAAGGTCGCAACCAGGACCTTCGAACTGGGTGGCTACCGCATTCCCAAAGGCTGGCAGGTGTACACCGCGACTGGCTTCACCGGCCAGCTGTTTGATGATCGGTGGCCCATGGACGCTGAATTCCGTCCCGAGCGGCTCTTGTCAGGCGCAGGTATTGACCCGAGCCCCGACATCGTGTTCGGAATTGGACCCCACTCCTGTGCAGGAAGGCTCCTGTCCATCCTGGAAAACAAGATCCTGTTGGCCACATTGGCGAGGGGCTACGACTTTGAGGTTCTCGACGCCTACCCTCGCATCGTCAGTGACCCCCTTCCCCAGCCAGAGGACGGTCTTCCCATCCTGGTGAAGAGACGAAGGGACCCATCTGGTCGCTGAACGGTCACGGGGTCCTTCAGCGATTTGAAAAGAACGACGGTCATTATTGGCGGGCCGAACATGGATGGAGAATGGACAAGCATAAAGAACAGCTCTTTTCCATGGTTGTTTCGGTAGTGAAAATGTCGATCTGATCGGATTCTCCATGCAGGCTACTCGTTGACATGATTTCTGTGTCGGAGACCGGTGTCGCACACACGGGTGGAGTTGCACATAATTTCAAAAGGAAGGGGGGGAAGCATCAAATCTTGGTTGCCGGCAGGCCTTGCGCGATTCTAGAAATCGTAAATCAATGGGTGCTTGATTGCCTGCCATGCATGTCGCCTGTTGTGGCAGCCTCGCTACATTTCAACATTATTTGGCATTGCATTCATCATGTTGCTGGGGGCCCGGTCCGCGCTGAGGAATGCTGCCCGCATATTCCCACCGTAACGAACGGCGTCACACGCTCGGCTTCCAGCATACCTGTAGGCCCTTGGTGCAGCAGTTGACCACCGAATTGGGTGGTCCCCTGTCGCCCCTGTTGCTGGAAGCCATTGTTTGACCGTAATGAAGGTGAGTGTGGCCATAAAGAGTGGAATTCGAGGCATGTGCCTCGATGCATCCCGAGCTCCACTGCCGCGCCGCAAATGCGCCTTGGAAAGTTTTCACTGCAAAGACGAAATGCGTCCTTCCACCCTGAACGATGACATCATCAGGCTGAGTTCTTGAGTACGTTGTGCACGTCATGCGCACCCTATGAACGCAGTACTAGCAAGCGCGAATTATCAAGCAGCGGTGATTGATGAATTGAAAAGAGGGGAAAGGATTGTGCTCCCACAATTTTTCAAAAATATGGCAATCCTTTAATGTTCCGCTTGATTTTGCCGAAAGTATTTGTACAGCATTATGACGTCTATATATTATGTTTCGAATTGCAAAGCTCCGGGAATCCCACAATCACAATTAGTTGACACGATTTCCCTAATGACTGGTACTAGTCTCGGTACAGTTCCCTGTACAGGTACGGTCCCGGTGCTGGTCTAATGTCTGTGTATTGGGAACAATGGGGCATAGTTCGGTTTTCGATACCTGTCGTATGCCATGAGTGGTACTGAAGTTCTTGACACTGGGTTGAACCCTGAGGGCTTCCGCGGCGCTTATCCGCACCTTTTGTAACCCCAACAAATACCACTTAAGATCCAAGACGATTTTCAGTATACTTGTGTTGGAACGAACATAGGTGGCAGTGTTTGTACACATGAAAGCGCACGATAGATGCCATGCGCTGACGCAATCGTGCCACATGCAGATCCTCATAAAGGAGAAAGACCTCTTGCAGCAAACGTATTTTAATGACCTTTTGCAACTCATTGGACCCACGATCATGAACGTGATGGATGGTGATTTCATCCTTTTTTGACTTCGTTTGCAGATTTTCTCCGGCTTTGAAGAGAATCTGGCAGCAACAGGGAGTACGAATGCTTGAGAGACATTTTACCTTTGCATATAATGAGATTAAGATTCCTGCTGGACGTACAGCTGCTCCCTAAAATGTGTTGGTTGAAATTAAATGGTTGGTGCAATGTCACGAACAAAGGTTTGGTGCAAATGCTGACATCCTCTTTACACTGTTGCTTCAGGACATGATACGTAGCTCAAGCATCGCCAAAGCTGTACTACCTCTTTTCTTGACCCATGTTTAAATCGAGCTTGATATTTACAATGTAAACACTTTTTGTGTTTTTTATGCGTAAATACCTGTAAAATGTATAAAATATTCCATGTGTACTTAAAGACGGAACACACGGAATCAGGGAATCGGGCGAGTGGCATCTAGACATGCTGAAGTGCATACAAATATGCATATAATGGTCTTTTGCTCGACGGCATTGTTTCTTTTGGTCAAGGCGACGTGTGCGCTTTCTTGCCGGTGCTGGAGATAGTGGAGAATCGATCGTTGATTGGGACGTCACCGTGCAAACTGAGCGTGTCGGCGAGCGGCAAATATACGTAAGCATGGCCGGAAAAATGGCCGTTTCTCCATTCACGCCTTTTATGCGCAAAACGGCGAAAGTTGAAATTGAGGTAAAAGTAAATAACATGCCTGGTTTGAAGCAACAACAGTAGTTTTATGGCTCGCAGCCACAATTCGTACCCTTTCATATACATACAAATGCTTTTTTCTTAATTGCGACATCATTGTAAGCCACTGAGTAGGGAATGACACATAGTGATGGTGTAAGCAGTGCGCCAATCGCGTGCTTCTGCTGCAGTAAATTATCTGAAAGGCAATGTTGGATCATTTGCAGGAAAAGCACATGTGGGATTGAGGACTCTGATTCGGGCTGCATTCTCAAAGAGGAGCATATCCTCTTGCATATCCCAAACTGCACGACTGGCTGAGGGGCACTGTCATGAATGGGGTAAAAACGTTCAATCGCGTTAGCAGATGAGATAAGCTGTCGGTGTCTTTCAATTTATCGAAAGCAGGCAGATATGTCGAATTATCGTTCAGGATCTCAGGATGTCCTTGTGTACAGGGGGCTGTGCTTCCGTTGTATTTACGTGTTTTTAGTGATATTCACACGTAAAAATGCAAGAACTATTTTATGCGGGAAAAGTTAATAATGTTTGTGTTTGCAGTGTAAAGACCAGGCCTGCCGGTTGTGGATGCTCCCGCAAGATACTGTTCACAAGAATTGACCAAGGGACACAAAAGGCTGGAGACGCTTTGTTAGGAGCCCACTGAACCGGGCGCATTCCACTCAAACACAGGTCATATTTATGATTTTACGCACACATATAGTATATACATATTTCAACGTAGACATGTGTAAAAATGCGTAAATCCATGTGCGTGCATGTAAAAATAGTACATACAGACTACTGAGTTTGGGGAGCGGCAGTCAGACGCCCCGAAGTGGGCAGAAAACCCGATCACCCGATTCCTGGAGATGGACAAGGGATACCTTACAAGTTCCTGAGGATTATGGGTGGCGGAGATAAGGGATTGTTCGCACGGACCTTAAGGCTTTCAACAGATCATCCGAAGCTAAGAACTGAGCGGCAATGAGCTGGTGTGGCATAGATCATCGTCTAGGAAGTGTGTTGGAGATATTCGGGGGAATTTCAGGAACTGAAGGGTTCGGGCAGTGCTGACAAGGCATGATTAGAACTCCTTGGCGACTCGTTTAGTATTTGAGCTGAGAACTGACACTCTTCTATAGCCATAAGCCCACCCTTTCGCCTGCTGTGCAGGTGCTCAGCTATGGTCAGGGGGAGTGACCGTGATTGCCATTTACCTTAGCGATGCAAAGCTGTTGCCTAAAACAAAAACTCCACCACCGCTGAGTCCCCCCAGCGCCTCGTGAGTGGCCCACCGGGCCCGGCGGCCCGGCGGTCAGACCCCCCTGCCGACCCCGGCCACCGGACGGTCAGGTGCAGCCACTCCGGGCGAGTCCCCACAGCGTACGCGTGGAACGAAAAAGCGCGCGATCGAGTGTTCGCCTGCAGCCTCGTGCACCGGTGCATCCCCAGGTGTGCAGGGGTGTGGGAAGCAAAAGGGTCGCCGCGAGAACGGTCTCAAACAGAGAGGGAGCACCTGTTCTCAAGCAGGCGGAGGCTTTGCCTGGAGCGCATGCCTGTGGGGCTGCCGGCTCCAGCAGGAGCCGTCCCTATCCCAATTGGCAACATGGCGCAGTGTGGAAGGCGCAGCCTACGCAGGGGCGAGTTTGCTGGCGCGGATCGATGAGTAGAGTGGCAGCGACGCTGGCCGCGAGCCTGGCAGCAAGCCTGCTGCCCATACCGACCCTCTTTTGGCCAACCCAAGGGAGCCCAGCATCATGGCCATGGGGAAGCACAATCTTATTCACAAGCAGGCCCCGTTGCCTGCCCCGGCATCGACAACCGCCCGCACCTACCCCGCCGTGCGCTCTGGTATCACGACGGCCCCGCCGCGCGACATGTGGCGCACACCGATACGCGTCTCTCCCATGTAGTCGTGATCAGGCGGGCACGACAAAAAGTCCCCACTGGGCATCTTCGAGAGGCAGTGCTGCAGACCCGCGCAGGCGAAAAAGCGAAGAGCAGAACTGCCTCAAAGAAGCAGTGTGGCGGACTGGCCAAAACGAGCCATACCTCCCCCTCACGACGTCCGTGTGCAACACGGAGAAGAAAGGGATTCACTCACAAATCCGTTAGGAGAAGCCATCTGGCAGCAAGCCCCCCGCCTGCTTGAGAGTTGTGCTCCCACTCAGGTTGAGACCGTTCTTGCAGCGATCTGTTGCTGGTCGTGTGCGCGATGGCCTCGAGACTGGCGAGGAGTACGTTGGTAAGCGCGGGTAGCCCGCGGCGGGTTGCGGTGCGTCGAACTATAACGGCTAGTCTATGCATCAAAATATTATGCAAAACATCATATACGATTTGTATTCTAGCGCTAGCTTTGCGACGGTTGCAGCTGCCAGGGAGTGTCACTTTTCTGCTCAAGCCCTGCAGAAACACCTGCCTCTATCATTCAGGTCACTGGCGAAGCAAGGCACTGTGTAGAGGACCAATCTGCGCTCGCGCAGCGAAAATATTAAACCCATAGTCAGTTACTGCTTGAGGAGCATGGTATGCTGGCATTTCCCACAACATGGGCACATGCAGCAACTGCAGATGCCTTCCTCGGTAGCTGATTACTGCAGGAAGCCATCTGTCGTTTCATTAGGCAAAAGGAACCAAATAGCACTTTTGCGAGCACACATACACTGGGAAAAAAAGGGCCACATAACACGTGTTCAAACGTGTACAAAGTTTACGGGTTTGTGTAATTTTTGTGTTTTTAGCGTGTAAATCTATGATGAAATGTGTGTTTATGTGTGTTCTCAAATGTGTTATTTGGCCCTTTTTTCCCTAGTGATATATGCATTTCATCAGTGTTTCGAATGTTGAAAACACGGAAATAACCCAAACCCGTAAACTTTGTACAAGTTTGAATACGAGGTATTTTGCCCTTTCCCTAGTGTTTCTGCTTCTGA